GCCTGAGCCAGGGGGCTCCTGGGCAGGGATGGAGCCAGCCATCGGAGCTGCGGAAGACCCCTGCCCAAGCTTAAAGCCTTGGCCAGAGGTGTCAGGCCTAGGCAGGGGGCAGAGCTGGTGATCAGGGGAGGTGGGGTCCCCTGCCCAGACCTGATGCCTGGGCCAGAGGCATCAGGCCTGGGCGGGGGTCCGAGCCAGCGATCAGAGGGGTCTGGGAGTCCCCTGCCCAGGCCTGACACCTCAGCCAGAGGCATCAGGCCTGGGCGGGAGGCAGAGCTGGCGATTGGAGGGTGATGGGGGTCCCCTGCCCAGGCCTGATGCCTGGGCCAGAGGTATCAGGCTTGGGCAGGGGGGCGGAGCTGGTGATCAGAGGGTACTGGGGGTCCCCTGCCCAGGCCTGATGCCTCGGCCAGAGGTGTCAGGCCTGGGCAAGGGGCCGATTCGGCAATCGGAGGGTGATGGGGGTCATGCCTCTGGCCGAGGTGTCAGGCCTGGGTGGGGGGCCAAGCCGGTGATCAGTGTGAACTACAGAGGAAACACCTTTTCTGACCGCTCATTGGCTAAGCTCCCTGTATGCCACTGGTAATATTCTTAGTAAATTGGGTCATAAGAATCCAAATAGGGGATCTAGGGTTTTTCACCATACTCCTGGCAAAAAAAAAAACGAAGGTCTGCTGCTGGAGGGCTAAGAAATGTCATAACGTGCCCTAGCCAGTTTGGCTCAGTGGATAGAGCGTCGGCCTGCAGACTGAGGGGTCCCAGGTTCGATTCCGGTCAGGGGCATGTGCCTGGGTTGCGGGCACATCCCCAGTGGGAGATGTGCAGGAGTAACGTGCCCTAGCCAGTTTGGCTCAGTGGATAATGCCTTGGCCGACTGCAGGGTCTGGCTTCAATTCTGACCAAGGGCATGTACCTAGGTTGCAGGCTTCTCCCTGGCCGGGGCCCAGGTCAGGGCTCATGCAGGAGGTAACCAATCAAAATGTTCCTCTCACTTTGATGTTTCTCTCTGTCTTTCCCTTTCTCTTCCACATTCTCTAAAAATCAATGAAAACATATCCTCAGGTGAGGATAAAAAAAAATAATAAAGAAATGTCATATCCTATGAAAGACACATCTTGAAAGTGCCTAAAGAAAGTTGTCATTTTTTCATGGTGAAGGGACTGGAGTCCGTGTTGATGAAAAAACCTTGCTGGCTGTGGTGACTGGCAGTGGCTGCAGCAGTGGGGTGATGGGGCTGGTGCCTTCACCTGATCAGCCTGGTCACCTCCCACAAAGGGAGGCCAGACTGCGGCTTAGGCCTGCTCCCCAGGGGGAGCAGGGAGCAGGCCTAAGCTGTCAGTAGGGCATTCCCTGAGGGCTCCCAATATGTGAGAGGGGGCAGGCTGGGCTGAGGGAATTTCGTGCACCTGGCCCCTAGTATACTCAAAAGAACTGAAAGCAGGGGCTCAAAGAGATACTTATACAGAAATGTTCATATCAGCATTATTTACAATAGTCAAAATGTGTAAACACCTCTAGTGTCCATCAACTAATGAACAGATAAATAAAATGTGGTGTATTTATACATAGGAACATTATTCAGTCACTAAAAGTAATGCTACAACATGGATGAACCTCAAAAACAAGTCAAGTAAAAGAAACAGACACAAAAGGCCACATATCATGTGATTCCACTTATATGAAATATCCAGAATAGGCAAACCCATAGAGACAGAAAGCAGATGAGTGGCTTCAGGATCTGGTGAGAGGGGAGGGTGGAGAATACTGCTGGGTGGAAATGGGGTCTCCTTTGGGGTGAACATGTTCTGGACCTAGAGAGAGGTGATGGCTGAGTATCATCGTGAATACACTAAAAACTATCCAATGGGTAAATTTGTGGTACTTGAATTATATTTCAATAAAGCTATTATTTTTTAAAAATATATTTTATTGAGTTTTTTACAGAGAGGAAGGGAGAGGGATAGAGAGTTAGAAACATCGATCAGCTGCCTCCTGCACACCCCCTACTGGGGATGTGCCTGCAACCAAGGTACATGCTCTTGACCAGAATCGAACCTGGGACCCTTCAGTCCGCACACCGACGCTCTATCCACTGAGACAAACTGGTTAGGGCAAGCTATTATTTTTTTTTAAGCCAACATTAAAACTTGAAAAATTTCATACAAAATTCCAGATTGACGTCTCTTGAAAAATCTCTGTGATCTCACACAAGGTCCCTCATGACAACCATCAGCTGCCACTAAAGCTGGACCTGAAGCCAGCTCTCCATGCCCCACTCTGGGCATGCTTGATCTCCGCCTCCGTGAGCTTCTCTGTGCAAGGAGGATCATGACAGCATCTACCCCATCAGGCTGTCATGAGGAGTCGATGGGTTAAATGCTGAGAAATGCACCTGGCACATAGTCAGTGCTCCCTGCTCAGTAAGTGTTAGCTGCTTTCATATTTTCTGATACCTCAACCTTTTTATAGAGAAATAAATGGCAATTGTTTTCCAATTTTTAAAAAATGTTTTTATTGATTTCAGAGAGAAAGGGGGAGGGAGAGAGAGATAGAAACATCAATGATGAGATAGAATCACTGATCGGCTGCCTCCTGCATGCCCCACACTGGGGATCAAGCCTGCAAACCAGGCATGTGCCCTGACTGAGAATCAAATTGCGACCTCTTGGTTCATAGGTCTACCATGCTCAACAAATAGAAGTATAGCATATAATGTAATCCAAAAGAAAGAAGTGGTAAAACAGCCAAAATAAGAGTTTTTAAAAAGCAACATATAAAATACTATACATAATACACTGAGTGGCCACATTATTATGACCACCTGACGTTTGTAGGCAAATTAGCTATAAATTTCGCACTGAAGTTGCTAGAGGGCGAGACCATTATAAATAAGGAAGCAGGTTGTTTACCACGACAGTAGAAATGGTTTTTTTTCTGAAGATATGGATAAACAACGCGATTTAACAGCCTTTGAACGTGGGATATATTTGAACATGAGTGGCCAGATGATTATGACCACCCCATCAGTACTTCGTTGGGCCACCTTTTGCCTTCGGTACTGCGGCGAT